TACGTATAATGTCTACTCGAGCGATCCAAGGAAACCCATTTTGTATACGACTGTTTCGAGACGAAGACAGGGAATGCGCGTTGGTATACCGCCAGGAGAGAATCAGAAAGAAATCCTGGAGCAGATATTAGGACCTTTCAAGCACGACCTAGTTAGACTGTATGTCTCCGTCTGGGATCGAATCGGATCGGAATGACCTACTAATCACCCAAAATAGGTTCATTGACAGGTTCAACGCTGCGTTCCCCATCTTCGATGGAGAAAGCTTCTGGGAGGCTTTTATCTCGGAGACTCCCGGTGACCCGCCAGCCTCTCTTTTGTGTCAGGTGTATTCGATGTCTTTGGTGTATTGGAAGCACACTCCCAAGCTGGCGTGTCATCCGAAACCAGACGTCCGTTACGCGGTCAACATGACAGTGGCCGCTCTACACGAGGAGTTCTCCGCCCCTGGTCTGTCTACCATAAGCGCCGCTCTTATTGATTTGACCGGTCGCCCGATCTTCTCCATGACTGGAAATGCGATCAGTAGCGGCCGTATGGTCTCCCTGGCACACTGTCTCGGGCTCAATCGCGACCCTAGTCATTGGAAACTGTCCCCGGCTGAAAAGAATCATCGCATGCGCTTATGGTGGGGTGTGGTCATCCACGATCGATGGTAAGCATCGTATCTACGCAACAAGAAAGGGTTACTGACATGGTCTCAGGGGGAGCTTCGGTCACGGAGTACCGCCGCAGATCGCGAAGAATCAGTACGACGTCCCTCTTCCGACAATCGACGTACTTATACCACCAGCATCTCGCACCCCTGAACGCGTCCGAGCCGCGCACTGCCATATCGCGCTGTGCCAGTTGACGGAGATTCTGGGCGAGCTACTGCCCCTTGTCTACGGTCTTCAGCACCGATTCGCGCGCGAAACCACCAAGAAAGTGAGACAAATCCGGACCGACCTCGATGTCTGGGAGGACTCGCTGCCTGACTGGCTGAGGAACCCTCCACGTACCTCTGAGGGACGCATCTCCGGAACAAGCAGTCTTCAATTAGCGTTCCTGGCCGTTAAGATGCTGGTGAGCCGGGTGGAATTGAACGTGAGCGACGCACCTGTTACAAGACGCCTCCTGCCAGCCAAGTTAACAAGTCCACAGGAGGTCAACAACTCGGAGACCGAGAACCCGGAAGCCCGCCGGTATTTCCAGACTGAATGCCGGAAATCGGCGGAGGAGATAGTACAGTTCATTTCCTCCCTCCGTAAGGAGAATTTCCAAGAATTCTGGCTTCCATGTGAGCACCTCTCTCTTCCTTCCTGTTTCTCTTGGGACAACTTCGCCAGCCAATATCAAAAACTAAACCCCAAACAGACAGCGCATTCCACCTCACCACGACGGCGACGCTCCTCGTCCGCTGCGCCCTCGAGACCACGGACAGCGAAGTCGCGCGGTCCTGCCTCACGAACGTCGAGACCTTCCGCGCCATCCTCCGCCGCGTCCGCGAGGACGAGGACTGGGACGTCGCCGACATGTGCCTGGACCACTGCGAACGGCTCCTCAGCCGCCTGGCAGCGCCCCCCGGCAGCAGCGGCGGCGGTGGCGCCCACAACCCGGACCATACGACGTTCAGCCAGGTCATCGGCCTGGGCGGCGGCATTGTAGGCGGCGGCGGCGGCGCGGGCGGCGTGTCCGACCACCCGGGCACCAGCCGGCTCGTCAACCCGGCGGCCATCTCGCTGCCCGAGACGCAGACCAACAACGACATCGTCGACGACATGATGTCCATCTCCGGGACGTTCGGCACCATGGACGGCTTTCCCTTCGATATGACGGGCATCTGGGACGTGTCCGTCTTCCAGGACGTCAACCTTTCGTAAAAGGCCGGCGGCTCCCACCAAAACAAAAAGAATCTTTTAACCAGCATCATAACCGTGATATGTAACACACCCCCCATCCCATTTCTCATCGATTCTGTTTTTTCTTATCCCACGATCTCTAGAAGATCATGCTCCTTTTCAACGAGAGTATGGATACCATCCTCGGCCACTTTCGACTACTTAATATTTTCCTTTACCGCTATCTTTTCAACAAAAGAGTCGAAAGTGAGGATGAAGGGGAATATGAATGTGAATGTGACTCTGGAGGTTGGGATGATGTGGAAGGAGGGGTGAGGGGGAGGCTTTCTGTTTGGTCTTTTTAGAATATACCCATCGAGGCAGTGCATGTTTGCTACTGCTGCTGCTGTGCTGCAATTTTGTTTTTCCCTGCTTAGAGAGGAGAAGAATACTACATACCTTTTACAGCATGAAGTCTCCTCTGCAGCGCTCGTTCTGTTATTGCGGAAATCCGGCTGTTTAGCAGACAAATGGTTGTGCTGGTGATGGTTGCCGAGATATATACTTCGACTCAGTCCACACCTCAGATAGCTCTAGCCTAACCTACCATACAGTATCGTTTACTCCCTACACGCAGTAATATAGAAACCATGCATATGATTAGATTTTATTTCCCAATTTATACATAACCATCCCTCCTAGATGGACAATAACAGCGGAAAGAAAAAAGTATGCTATTTTACAACCAACCCGTGATCAAATGATGGGTGCGGGACAGAAACCCCTGCTTCTAAGGAGAGAAAGCAAGAACAAAAACACGAAAAACCCGGCCCCGAGAACAACAGTGACAACAGTGTACCCCAGGTATACGTAGATTATAAAAAGAAAAGGAAGACATGGCACGAAATCAAAAGAAGAGGAGAGAGAGACAGAGAGAGGAAGTTCGTTTGTGGCGCTCGTATAGAACCCAAGCACCCGCTCTCATAAAGAGTGCTCCTGAAATATCAAGAACACAAGCAAGTGACGATTGTTTCCACTTTTGCTTACTGCTTCTTGTCACCACCAGCACCGAACATGCCGGTCAAGGAGCCCTTCATCATGGCCATCTGTTCCTGACGAGCCTTCTCCTCCTCGGCGGCCATCTCGGCCAGCCACTTCTCGCCGTTTTCGCGGATCTCCTTCTCGATCATCTCGTAATTCTTCTGGCCGCGCTCGCGAATCTGGTCCCAGAGCATCTTACCCTGGGCCAGGCCCTCCGCGGGGCTCTGCTCGCCGTCCAGAGTCCGGTTGGACTTCAGACCCAGAGCAGAGGCGAAGCCGCCCAGACCACTCCGGGGACGGCGCTTCTGCTCCTCGGCGAGTTCCTGCTCGAAGCGCTCGCGCATGGCCTTCTCACGCTTGGCGAATTCGACGGGGATAGGCTGGCCCTCGAAGGACTTGAGAACGGGGCGCACGTCCTCAACACCCATGCCGGCGAGGTATTCCAGGAAGGGGATCAAGGCGACCAGGGTCTTGTCCTTGGGGTCGCCGCGCCACTTGTCAAGGACAATGGCGTTCTCGGGCTGTAGGCGAGCGTGCTCCTCCTTGGTGTCAATAAGGATGACCTTGGAGAGATCACGGTTCAGGTAAGACAGATCCTATGCAAGCAATATTAGTGATGTGAATGGGAAACAGCAGCTCGAGTCAATTGCGTCATACCTTGATGTATTCACCGTCCTTGTATCTGGTGGCCTCTCTGAACAGGGGCCAGCGGATGATGCGGTAGGGGTCGAGCTTACGGAGCACCTGGTCGGCCATCATGCTGGGCACACTGGTGAACAGGACGAGCTCGTAGTACTGGTTTAGATACCGGAGGAAGTAGTCGACACCGGGTCGCTTAGCCACACGCCAGCCATGTTCGCGACTCCACTCGCTGTGCACCAGCAGGTCCTCCAGGCTCAGCACCAGAGTGTAGGGCTGGCGCATGTTGGGGTCTTCGTCCGGCAGCAACTTGGGGAAGGCCGGGTCCTTGTAGTAGCTGGTGAGGTCACTGAGACGGGCCTTGGCGCGGTTATACCACAGTCCCAGTCCCCAGCCGGACGGAGTCTCAGGGTGAGCCTTCTCTTCCAATTCGTTCTCCCAGTTCCGGCCTAGGTAAGCCACTCCACCAGCACCGGCCAGCAAGAACAGCGCAGAGAACAGATTGGCCATGCGGGCGCGCTTGCGGTCGAGGGAGGAAGTATAGTGGTCTTTGGATTTGTCGCCGCGACCCTCATCTTCGGCGTAGTCTTCGGCCCGGGAGGGATCCTCGGTAAGGTTCAGAGTGGTAGATGGGCGACCGGTCTGGCGAGCTTCCAACTCGGCCGCAAGGGTGGAGGGGATACCCTGGGTAAGATCGGGGAGGGGCTGGCGAGGGAGTTCCTTTTCTTGGGGGGCGTGTGATTCAGGCTAGTACAGTCACACTGGTCAGCCGAATGGGCTTAGGTTTCAATAGAATGCGGCGTAACTCACGGAGGTCTGTTGAGAAGAGGCATTGCTCTGCGGGTCGGCCTTGGTATCAAATTCGGCCTGCTCTGCGGCATAATCTGCTTGCTTGTCTTCTTGCTTGGGAGCCGGAGCCTGAGAGGGCTGCTTGGACTGCGAGGCCTTGATGGAGTCGGGAAGGTTGTAGGAAGATTTCGGTTTGCTGTTCTTTGCATACCAGCGCGCGTGAGGGACTGTGACGGTCGAAGCACGGACAGTTGAAGCGAGGATATTAGGCCTCGTCAGAGGCAGTACGGCCCGGCTAAGCATTATGGGATGGATGGGGGAGGAGGATCGATGAAGGTATTTAAAAATAGAAGGTGATAGACAGTTTGCACATGCACTGCGAAGCACACAGCACACGGTCGGTAACAGAATTACCAATGTGGGATGAGAAGAATGGCAGGGTCAAGAATCGATGATGCAGAGTGTCTGGTCAAGATTGGGAAAATCGGCAGAGGTCGGCGGCGGAGAAGACGGACGCTAACATTTGCAAGCTCTCTCTCTCTCTCTCTCTCTCTCTCTCTCCGTCACTGCAAAAAAGTTCAAGGCACGGACCTGCACTGCTCCGGGTGGCGACAGAATCCTTCAACGCAGTTTGTTTCCTCATATAAAATCCTCCGTCTTCTGCCAAATCTTTCCACTTCTTTTTTTTTTCTTTTCTTTTCTTAACCAAATGAAAGTTGAAACCCAGTCCACAAATTTGACCCTTCGTGCCACTTAAATGCATGCCGGGTTGTATTAGCTGGGGAGACCAATGAAGTTCTGCTTCAATCCCACACCCAAGAGCCGCAGCAAAGGTCTCCTCTGCAGCTGCAGCCCCGTTAGTGGGATATAATCCTCTTGATTTTTGCCTCCTCGGCTAAGTAGTTGTTGTCAGCGATTCGATCCATTTGCATCCGCTTCCCATCCAGGGTCATGTCATCCTATGAATCCAGCCGTTGAATGTAGCGATGCGATGGATGACCGAAGCTTGCATTATCTCGGTTAAAAAAAGATCTCATCTGCCTTTTTTATTCTTCGTATCGTGCCGCATACGCATAAACTTTTCCCAGCCGCAAACCTTAGAGAAAACCCGACACGACCACATACATATATCATCTACAAGATGACCTCGTCTCTCGCCCGAGATCTGGAGAAACTGAACCTGGGCGGTGGTGCACCACCGCCCAGCAAGGCCTCGAAGAACCTCCGCCCGCAGCGGAAGAAAGGCAAAGCGCCGATCGAGCCCTTCCGGTTCTTCGACCTGCCCTCGGAGATCCGCCTGCGCGTGTACCACTACGTGCTCTTCACGCCGAAGCGGCGGCGGACGCAGCGGGCGGCGGGCAGCGTGGGCGCCTCGTCGAAGAAGAACCCGCCGCTGGCGCCGGCGTCGCACCGGATCGCGCTCTTCCTGGCGTCGCGGCGCCTGCACGGCGAGGCGGCCGACTACTTCTACGCGACGCAGGTGTTCCGGCTCTTCCACCTGCAGGACTACTCGAAGATGCCGACGGTGCGGGCGATCGCGCCGCAGTACCGGCCCTCCATCGCCACCATCGAGCTGATCCTGGGCTCCAGCTGGACCGACCCCCCGACCGCGTGGCGCGTCACCCCGGCCCTGGGTCTGGAGGAGATGGTCCGCATCCGCACCCTCAAGGTCTTCCTCGAGGTCGACCCCTCGCACCCGGTCTTCGAGGGCTTCCGCATCTCCCGCGACTTCTACACCAACTTCTCCGGCAACATCCTGCACGAGGTCCTGGCCCGCCTGCCCAACCTCGAGTACGTCGAGTTCGACGGCTGGCCGTCCGTGCGGAAGAGCGGCGGCCTGATGAAGCGCCTGCTGCACGAGGCGCGCGCGGCGCACAAGAAGATCGCCTGGGGCCCCGAGCGCGGGTGGACGGACTACGACGGCGAGGAGTTCGACGAGGACGCCTACGGGCTCAAGGCGCAGGAGGCCAAAGCGGAGGAGCACCGGGCACAGCAGCTCGCTCGCTTGAAGGCCATGATGCCTGCGGGCTTCATACCCGAGACGCTCATGCCGGAGACGGCTACGGTTGTCGAATCATGATGAGAGACGATTTGATACATATACACACATGCATAAATATCGTACGATATAAGCCGACTCGGACGAGGCGGATGGATGCTGTGGGATGTGCTCAACACATAGGGACGTTCTTTGCATCATAGATTAGATCTTTTAGATTGGTTAGCGATTTCATGGTTTACGCCTGGTATACGAATTGAAGTCATTCTGCAATGAGTTTCTGTCCCTGGCGTCCGCACGACTTCGATCGCTACTGTAACGTTAACATCATTCGTAGCTAGTAATTTCCAAAGCCCAGGACTCTACCGCCCGTCTCCGCACATGAAGCCTGTCCAGTAAGAAGAAAATCGCTTTCACTCGTGGTATGCATTCAGAGACAGATATTATACGTTGATCAGAAGCTTAATACATGCTTAGAGCTCTTCGTCCACTTCCATACCAGCGCCGTTCTGGGACTCGGTTCCATTGGATTGCCGTGCCACGGATGCCTCCTTATCGATCATCTGTCGGGAGACTGCGACGATGTTATCCTCGATCAACTGCTGACTGACGTCTTCGATGTCTGTGATACGGGGTTAGTCCTAATCCGACAAGTCGGGAGTACAGTATATAGCTTACGCTTCTTCGGGTCGACCTTTCCGACATATCTCGTCTTGAGCTGGTCCTTACTCAACTCCGTCTCCTCCTTGACCCGCTTCTCATAGCCCTCAGCCAGACTGACGAGCTGCTTCATGCGCTCGACGTTGTGCTCACCCTCGTCGTGGAAGTCCTTCATTTGCAGTGCCTCCGTCCAGACGTGCTTGTGCAAGTTCATCAGCATGTTCTCCTCCAGACCCGTCTTGCGGTAGTTGATCGCAATGCTGTAGTAGTGTCTGTTGAGGCCGTGAATCAGGGCCTGGATGGAAGGCTTGTTCAGGTGACCGAGGTTGGAGGTGGTCTGACGGGGCTCCTGTCCCATGACAACGGTCTGAGGTTGAATGAGACGGAAAGCATCGATGACGACCTTGCCCTTCACGGACTGGATGGGATCAACGACAACGGCCACGGCACGGGGGGTAAGCTGCTCGAATGATTGTTGGGTGTTGATATCGACGGACGAAAGCCAACAGCCGAAACCAGGGTGGGAGTGGTACCAGCCAACGACGGTTTCAGGCCTATACACAACAGATTGTCAGTGAGGTTGAAGCCGGGAGCCGGTTCGAGTCTCGTCTAACCGTCCAGTTTGCCGCAGCATGTCCATCATCTTGGTCTGAAAGACAGGATCCACCGCCTCGACACTGACACCCGTACCGCTCTGGGGCATAGCAAAGACATCAACCACCCGGACCGTGTATTCATCAACGAATTCACCCAGCATGAGACCCATGACTTCCATAGGGACACCTGCGCGACCATGCCTTAACATCTTCAACAGAGCGAGCGACGAGATGTGAACGGTTTCGGAGTTATCGATCAGATTGGGGGTATCCTAGGTTAGATATATTTAGCTATCACTGTCAAAGTATCGCTGCAGCGGTGGTTGGCGATTCCGCAGCCTGGCGGAGGGCGGCATGCTAGCCTTGGATAGAAACAGCAAGCAATCGGAGTTGAGGGACTTACGCCACCAGGAGCTCCTCCGCCCATGCCCATGCCCTGGGCAGCCTGCAGCATTCTATTGAGACGGTCCATGATTGATGAGGTGATGTGAGTTTAGGTAAGTTAGATGGAAAGACGACACCGGATGTCTTCCTGGGCGGAAGCTCCAACAGGACAGAGGAAACGGATGGAATAAACGGGTTTGGAGCTGCAGAGGAGCGCGGAGTAAATCGCTTGAGATGACGGGGTCGTAATGAGATCTTAATGGTTCTAAGGAGGCAAGAGTGAGTAGCGGGGAGTTGACGGGAAGATGAGTGGTGAGCGGCGCAACTCAAGCGTGAAGCCATCGGTCGAGCTTCCAAGAAGCCTGACGAAGGCGGTGGAGCAGCTCGGGGTTCCCGCCTTTGCGTCTCTCCTTCCCTTCCCTCTCTTGTCCCCGTTCCCCATCTTTATATCGTTCGCCCGCCTTATTGGGAATGCCTCTTTCTTGTTCCAATCCCGCGACCACAATCAATCTGCTAGGTTGATTGACGAGGGGATACCTTCTGTCACTCAGACTTGGCTTCTTGCCTTGGTCTGATTTCATTTTCTTCCTTTTTCATCTCATTCAGCTCCGTTGTGATCGGACCGAGAAAACACCGCGCAATCCATAGAACTCCCCAACTCATAAACTGCGTGAGGATCCGTCTCGTGTACCTACACGTTGACCTCCAACATGTCGACTTCCTTGCCTCCTTTGGACCCTATCACCAACGGGTCGGGGGACCGCGGTAAGAAGGTCGCCTACTTCTACGACTCAGACGTCGGAAACTATGCCTATGTGTCGGGCCACCCCATGAAGCCTCATCGCATAAGGATGACGCATAGTCTTGTTATGAACTATGGTCTCTACAAGAAGATGGAAATCTACGTGAGTCTACCTGTTCACTGTCTGGTGGTTGGGGAGGTGCTAACCGCAAGATCGCCACAGCGTGCGAAACCGGCCTCCAAATACGAAATGACCCAGTTCCACACCGACGAATACATCGATTTCCTTTCCAAGGTGACTCCGGATAATATGGACTCCTTTGCCAAAGAACAGAGCAAGTACAACGTCGGTGACGACTGCCCTGTCTTTGACGGGCTCTTTGAATTCTGCGGTATTAGCGCGGGAGGTAGTATGGAGGGTGCGGCACGGTTGAACAGGAACAAATGCGATATCGCGGTCAACTGGGCTGGTGGTCTTCACCACGCCAAGAAGAGCGAAGCTAGTGGTTTCTGTTACGTGAATGGTAAGCCAAAGAAAGAATCTTGGGCCTAACCTTGACGTTTACTGACTGGGTGGTAGATATTGTTCTTGGCATCTTGGAGCTGCTGCGTTTCAAGCAGCGAGTGCTGTATGTTGACATTGATGTTCATCATGGAGACGGTGTCGAGGAAGCGTTCTATACTACCGACCGCGTCATGACAGTCTCGTTCCACAAGTATGGTGAATATTTCCCGGGAACCGGTGAGCTCCGCGATATCGGCGTGGGCCAGGGCAAGCACTACGCTGTCAACTTCCCCCTTCGTGACGGTATCGACGATACTTCGTACAAGAGCATTTTCGAGCCTGTTATCAAGAGTGTGATGGAATGGTACCGGCCCGAAGCCGTGGTCCTGCAGTGCGGAGGTGACAGTCTCTCAGGTGATCGTCTGGGGTGCTTTAACCTCAGTATGCGCGGTCACGCCAACTGCGTAAACTTTATCAAGAGCTTCAACCTGCCCACTCTGATTCTTGGCGGTGGTGGTTACACGATGCGTAACGTTGCTCGAACCTGGGCGTTTGAGACCGGTATCCTTGTGGGAGACAATTTGACCGCGGAGCTTCCCTATAACGACTACTACGAGGTAAGATCGACAATCCGAATTTTGGTTCACTTAACTAACAAGTGCAGTACTTTGCTCCCGACTACGAACTGGATGTGCGGCCCTCTAACATGGACAATGCCAACACGAAAGAATACCTCGACAAAATCCGGACGCAAGTTGTGGAGAATCTTAAGCGCACGGCCTTTGCGCCTTCCGTGCAAATGACTGATGTACCACGGGAGTCTCTTGTGGACGGCATGGACGACGAAGCGGATGCGATTCTGGATGATTTGGACGAAGATGAGAACAAGGACAAGCGCTACACAAAGCGACGCTTTGACCAGTACATCGAAAAGCCCGGCGAGCTCAGCGACAGTGAAGACGAGGATGAGAATGCGGCCAATGGTGTGCACCGCAAGCCCCAGTCGATGAAGCGCAGAAACCAGGTTAACTATCGGAATCTGGACGTTGCTGATTCGGGCCCGGAGAGCGGCATGGCCACCCCTGTCGACGCTTCCTCAATCCCCGACGACGACATGGACCTGACCGCCGATACAAAGATGACGGAAGCTCCAGAGCCATTGACTGGGGCGCAGGCTTCGCCCGCGGCCGCTGACCTGCCCGCCAGAGCTGAGGCAGCATCAGGTGCAGATGCTATGGAACTGGCACATGATGGACTTGGGGATCAAGCTGCTCCCTCAGCGCCCATCTCTCGCCAACCATCCCCCAAACCCCAGGATGAAGATACGACAATGGAAGATGCGGAAGATGAGGCGCCTAGGCCGGAACAGACTGAGAGCGCACCCGCCGCCGCCGAAGCAGAGAACAAGGGCGAGGAGAAGAAGCCTAGCGTAGAGACCTCTGCCCCTGAGACCATCGCACCTGAGGGCTCATCAGCCCCTGCCAAGAACCAGTCACCCTCGACAGAGACGACCCAGCAACCCGAGACCACCGAGGTCGAAAACGCTAAGTCAGCGGCTGCGTCAGCCGAAGCCAGCGAACCGAAGGATATGAGCCCCGAGGCTCCAAAGGGCGACTCGACTGTTCCTAAGGCCGAGTCGGAGACGAGTGACGGAGCCAAGGAGGTCACGAAAGCAACACAGCCTGACGAGCCCACGAAGAGTGAGGACTAAGGGGGCTCCTGTAATCTCGGGGGTTGCTGGCGCAAGGGACGGGCAGTAATGGTGTTTCTGGTTGCGATCTTCTGCATGGGAATTAATTCCGACATATATCTCTGGTCTGGTTTTTGCTTCTGTTCTTTTTTTACTCTTTCGAAGATGTATGTACTAGGCGAATGCATGATGATATAGGATGTTCATGTGTATTGGAAGGCACATACAGGTTGCTCGACGAGAACCACCTTTGTTGCCTATATTGCCCTTTATAAAAGTGGTAGAGACGAACGACAGCCATGCAAACATGCAAAGAATAATTGTCACAGATTGGTATTGATTAGTGATCAAGTCAATCTTTCAGCCATCACCTTGCCATGTAGAGGGACAATCATAATTTACTTATTTACTTGTTTTCTAACCGAGCTTTCAGTATGATCTCCCTTACCTGCATCCTTGCCCTAGCTATAGTTGCTATACCACGTGATCTTGGGACTGGAGTCACATGACCTTCAGTCAGCCTAGCAGACTAGCCCTAGGGCATTTCCGGTATCGACCAATCAGAGTCTCTCCGCCAAGATTTCGCCCACTGAATTTGCGCGCCCACTAAGCGAGGATTCGACCGACCGCCCCGACCGCCCACACGCCCGCCGTGCGACCCCCCCCGACGCCCGCCCGCTGAGAGAACGAAGCTCGAGTTCGACCTTGTTGTCGTTGTGTCCATCGCCCAATTCTCCATCTCTCCCGACAACCCCGTGTTTAGAGATACACAGCAGCCAAGATGTCTCAGAGACCGTGAGTTCCACCGTCCCCGTTTATGTTTTCTGGGAGGTGAAATGAGGTATTGGAGGAGGAGGAGAAGAAGGGAAAGGGGAGGGAGGAAAATTGCATCGCAAGAGGTGGAACTCTGAATGATCTGGGATACGGCATTTGGGGTGGACGACAAGTTTTTTCATCGCACCGTTCTCCATCGACTACTGGGATGTTGGCGCTTGAAAGGCTTTTTATTCCTTGTTGGTGATCAAAGGAAGAAGAGAAGATCGAGCAGTCAGACCGGAAACAAAAGAGCTGGGATACGATTCGAAAAGCGCCTCCCATTCGGACTTTCCAGCGACAGGTGGGGGCTTCGGTGCTCGACTTTTCCCTCTTGTCTGTCTCGAAAGATGGAATGAGTGTTACCGACAAGACTCGACGACGATGATTTTTTCTCGATGTCCTTTTTTTTTTTTTTTTACGACGGTTTCCGGCATCGGACAGGGCAACGCTATAGGATGAATGGATCTTGAGGATGCAATTTTTCTCCCAGGGGGTGAGGAACAGAAGATGCGAGCTGGGGGTTATTCGATATAACCACTACAACGACTACATCGACAATCAACCAAAGCTGACCATGTCCCTCTTTTTCACAGGCGTCCCTCCGGCAACAAGCTCAAGATGACCCTGGGTCTTCCTTGGTACGTGTGCATCGAATGCTCCCATCCCCGATGAAAATCGATCCATCCAGCATTTGTTCTACACACCACATCAACGACCCCCGTCACCGAATCCAAACCACTTCAAAATCGATCAAAACCACTAACAGTCGCAACAACAGTGGCGCCGTGATGAACTGCTGCGACAACTCCGGTGCCCGCAACCTTTACATCATCTCCGTCAAGGGTATCGGTGCTCGCCTGAACCGTCTCCCCGCTGCCGGTGTCGGAGACATGGTCATGGCCACCGTCAAGAAGGGAAAGCCTGAGCTCCGTAAGAAGGTCATGCCCGCCGTCGTCGTCCGCCAGAGCAAGCCCTGGCGCCGCGCCGATGGTATCTACCTCTACTTCGAGGACAACGCTGGTGTTGTAAGTTTTACCTCCTGGCTCGCGCCAAATCCGGCTGATAGACTAATTCTTGTGTCTGCTAGATCGTCAACGCCAAGGGTGAGATGAAGGGCTCTGCCATCACCGGTCCCGTCGGTAAGGAGGCCGCTGAGCTTTGGCCTGTACGTTACTCTCCGCCCCTTTCAGAAAAAAAAAATCAATTGCTAACAGTTGACCTTCTTCACAGCGTATCGCCTCCAACTCCGGTGTTGTCATGTAAAAAAAGCCTTGAATTTTATGCGGGTGCGTGACAAGGCGGATTTGGGGAACGATACCAAAGCTCGGAATCATGGGTGGGGGTTGCCAATTCATATCTATGACCTCGAATAAAATGAAAATGAATTCATAAAAAAGTTATATTCTCTCTTGCTGTAGGCACTTTCGTTGTAGTGATGTAGTCCATCTTCCAAGGACCCGTAATCATTGACTCCGTATAATACTCATGTGAATGCATACGTCTTTGAGGGTTGAACGTCTCTAATGGTATATCATGATCTATGCTTGCTAAGTACTTGATGTGCTTACTATACCTGATGTCTAAGATGTATATAGATGTGTGCGTGCGTGCGTGCGTGCGTGTGTGCGCGCGTGTGTATCCACCTGCTATAGATACAGTTTTATGCCTTGACCTCCTGCGGCCGACCTTTCCCACCATCTGTCCGTTCCTGGGACTTCCTCGACCGCCGCACGACCGCCAGAAGGCGTAGTGCTGCTACGACCACCACGACGCCGACAGTCACCAGATCCACCACATGCACCGCCCACCAGATGTGCTGTACCCCGGCCGCGCACATCTGGATCTCATACTCCCACTCCTGCTTGTCCGTGTCAAACCACACGGACAGCAAGCCCGCGTACCCGCCATACGCACCCATCATGGAGCGCATGGTGACCTCGCGGATGGAGGGCGTGGAGGGAGGAGTAGCGGCGGCCTCCTGCGCGGCGGAGTAGCGTTTGGCGTCCCATTTCCAGTCCCTTTGCTCGGGGTCTGCAGCAGCAGCAGCATCCTCAGTTTCGCGTTTGCCCTTGTCCTCACTCTCCTCCGCACCCTCGCCTTCACCCTCACCCTCATCTCTCAAGTCCGAGTCAAACCCCCCATCCCTCCTCACAAAATGCAAAACATCGCAACCCTCATGATCGTGCCCCGTCAACACCAACCCCTTCCTTCCCCACCCGCCGCCTTCCACCTCCGCGACCTCCCCACTCATCCCAAACACCCCCTCCAACACCCCATTCCCACTCACCCACTCACTCAAATGATTCTGCTCGCGCAATCCGCCCGCGAACCACCGCTTCTCCTTCCCATCCTCGGCGTTATCATCCTCCTCGAAGAACTTAAAATGCGGCGCGTCCACGCAGACACCCGCCCGCTTGTGCAGCGGGAGGTGCGTCAGCAGCAACGTAAACGTGGAGCGGTCGGTGACCGGCGCGAGACGGTCGGTGATGAGGGCGTTGAGGTAGTCGTAGGAGGCGGACTGGATGTCGGGGCCGTAGGCGGGGGTGTCGAGGGTGAGCGAGTTGAGGTTGATGATGTGGATTCGTGGGGGGTTGGGGTGGGGGGCTATATTTCGGTGGGAGGCTGAGGCTGATGTGTTGTTGAGCCAGAATTTCACGTCCCAGTTGACGGTTCCGAAGGTCTCTTCGAACCGCGCGATGCGCGCGGCGCTGGCGTCCCCTGCGTATCCGATGTCGTGGTTGCCGACGACGTTGAGGATGCGGTTCGCCCAGGGGGAGGAGTGGGTGGTGGGGTTGAGGGCGAAGTCGGCGTTGTTGTTGTTTTGGGTCTTGTTGTTGTTAATGTTGTCATTGTCATTGTCGTTGTTTTGATTTGATCTGGTGGTGTCATCGCTGTCGGTGGGGGGAGCTGAGACTGGAGGAATGAACGAGTCCCCCCGCACACCACCCTGGAACACTCGCTCCCAGTATCGGTGGCCACGGCGCTGGAATTCCTCGTCGCTGACCCATTGGCTGCCGATGAGATCGCCGAGGACCGTGACGTGGGTGGGCTGGGACCACCAGTGGAGGGTGCGGTAGATGTGGGCGAGGTAGTAGTCGTTACCCAAGAGGTCGAGACGTTTGCGCGCTGCTTTGAGGGTGCGGGGGAGATCGGTGTGCAGGAGGGAGCGGAGGGCGGTGGTGATGGCTTGTTGCGTGGCGGGGAGGTTGATCTTGAACGGGGTCGATTGGGGTGCGCGAGTGTTGATGTCGGGGTTGGGAATCGGTTTGGAGTCTGTCTCTGAAGCGTTGCTGGAGATCGAGTCCGACGTAGACTCAGCATCAGTGGCTAAGGTCGAGTTTAGAGAAAGACCTGGAGAGGTCAGGGCAGCCCGTATCTGCCCCCAGTGGTGTCGCAGACGCGCTGGCAGCTCATCTTCTGCCTTAGGTAGCGAGCTGTCGCCCTCTATTTGAGGATCTGCGAGGACAAGAAGACGGAATGGCGCTGCTGGTGCGGGCTCAGCGTCTATGGTTAAATGCTGTCGCGCAGTGGCCAAAAAGGTATTCGAGAAAGAGTGCGAGTCATGATGCGGCAGAGGAAAGGCGCAGCCGTGGACGACGGGATACAGATATAGATACAGGCTGCTCGTCACGGCCAGCGGGACGAGCAGCACCAAAAGACGGCAGAGAAGGGTTCGGAGGAACATTAAAATTGAGTAAAGGAGTGTGGTTGAAAGACAGAGGCATCAGGGACAGGCATTATTATTGAGAAGGGCGTGAGGTTGTTGGAAAGTTGGTCGATGCGGCGGGAAGTCGATGGGCCTGCGCGTCTCGGCCTGCCGATCCTCACGCTATCGCCGTTATCAGTTGACTTTTCTGGTACTCAGCTGGTAGTGAACAGAGCTCATTCTACGCTTGGAGACGAATGTGTTATTAGGTGGTAGACTATAGATTAGGTAGGCTGTAGTTGGAAATATGATTCCAACTACCGTTTCATTAATCATGCTTCTAATAAAGGGAGCATCTGAACTAAGCTTCGTAGACAATGCAGAATTTCGAAAAGGAAAAGCCACACAATAACTCATTCAATCCAGTATCTAATCAAGCTATCGACTCATCACAAGTCTCGCGGACCATTTCAAGTCCGCCTAGAAAGAAAATCCAATGGGTATATCACATCAACGCCAAGCGAGCTCGCCGTCATCACTACAAGAAGATATTAAGAGAATGTGAGGGGGAGAATGGAAGAATGGAAAATTATAAACCCCATGCTGCATCACTGCGAGCTTTGAATCGAATCTGGAAGTAGAGACGCAGGTCCAGTGTCAACTTCTAAAGGTTTCGACAGTTTGAGACCATCCTCATTGCCGTCGCTGCTGGCAGGCTCGCCGTCCAAATCGAGCCCCTTGATCATCAGGCCTCGTTCCTCGGGTGTTTCCAACGATTCAGCTGCTGTCTCCGCGTCGGTGGTCTCCGAAGATGCTTTCAAAGACGCATCTTCTTTCTCCGTCGCCTCGGGCGCCACACCCTCGGATGCTCCAGCTGCTGCTCCTACCATCAAAGCCGGAGGCCGCTGATTCATCAACTGCGCCTCCTTCAGGCTGATGGTACGCTGCTTATTCGTTGTCTCCACTGGCAAGTCCATGTCCCGCTCAATGGTCGCCTTCATCAAAGCAGCCATCCAGCGTCGACCTTCCTGCACATTGTCGACTTGGAAATAGTGAACTGCCGGCTTAGTGAACTGCACTGTACGCGACGAGCCCGACTTGGGCGGTACCAGCTTGAAAAAAAACGGGCCCTCGCTGCCGGACTTGCTACCTCGTGGTGCCTCGATGCTTGGAATGGGATCGGACGATGAGGTCCCGTCGGCCAATTGAACCGAGGGGGCAGGGGCGGTTGGCGACCCGGTAGAACCGGTGATTGTGGCATGCAGCGCGACCATAGGGTCGTGATCGGCGCGTAGCACGCGATGCGCAGTGATGTCAATCAATCCTCGTTCCTCTGTATCTTGTTCCGAATAATAATATGACAACCGGCGACCCCGCAGCACGAAGAGCCGTGGCTTCCAGGTGGTAATCAGGTTCGGAGACTTCTTTTTCATCCAGCCAACGTAGTCGCATCCTGCCATCTGCTCTTGCGGAGACTTCTTCTCTAACCCACGCATGTAGGCACTGGTATCTTTCTTTGACTTGGGGCCAGTCTTGACGGACGGGCGGGAGCGGGGCCACAGACCTCCCTCCGTTGCCTTACCGGAGCCGTCGGTACTCAACCGTTCAGAACTCTTCGTGGTCGAAGGGGTCGTGGAACCAGTCCGGGGCGGAGCGGGATCTCGATCCCGAACCGGGGACGGCGGCGCAGCGGTTGTATCGACGTTCTTGCTCACCACGTCCGACATAGCTCGGAGGCCTACGGCGCGACGGAATTTCGGGCCACCAATCTTAGTTGATTGCTGAGACGAACGGGGTGTATCGCTCTCCGACTTCCCACCAAACAGCGGACCGAACAGACTGGACCCTCCAGAACGGTCCTCGATCGCGGAAACGGGAGCCGATTGCGGTGTTCGACGATCTACCAGACGAGTACTGAGACTCCGAAGTCGTCCCTTCGGCGCAGGAGTTGTGTAGGACTTGTTAGGCGGGGCAATGGGCTGCGTGGCCTTTTCTCGAATCGAGTCCATGCTATTGATACGTGAATGTCGCTTCGCAACCCGAAGGGGCTCCCCGGGGACCGGTGAGATGCGCGCATCAGCACTCCCGGCGGCAGATTGCCGTTTCTGCAACAGTCGTCGTTGTTTGCGGGTGTCCCCCTCGGGGCCAGAGAAATATCCGCGATCAAGGTCATCGGGCGTTGCAGCTGCCGTGTCTGAGCCATTCGACTGGGTTGGATGGTGGAAACCCGTATGGACGAACCCCGTCTCTAATGCCGGAGAAGTGCCCGTCGACGTCCCGGCCGATGTGCCCGGCCGTGTGGGAAGGCGTTGCTGGGGTCCCGTCGACAACGACCAGGCGCGGTCAAAGGAGCCGCGCTGTGTGGGTCCTGGTGAGCCATCGACGACTCCCGAGTAACGAGTCGTCGCATCGATAGACGAGTGTCGACGCGAATGATTGATTTCTCGCACGGACGCAGCAGACGGGCGACGCGAGTGATCCATAAATGAAGAGCCTTGCGACGGGATCGGCGATCCACTGTTGGTACTGGGAACGGTGTTGCTGACCAGTCGAGGATGGGGCGTGTTCGACGTGCGCAAAGTCGGGATGCGCGGTAGCAAAGGCGCCGTCTGCCCAGTTCGACTGCGTGTGCGCTCTGGGGAGCCAGGAACCGCCGCCAGCGAGCTGCGCGGCTGAGTTGGTGACACTGCCGGCGATGGCTGCTTGTGGCCAACTTTGACCTGGTCTTGGAAGGTGCGAATCTTGTGCCAGGTTTTCAAACGACGGCCCATAACCCCAAAGTCAAACTCTTTCATAAAAAGAAAGTCCTGGTTCATATCGAGTAAAACTTCGCCACTAATCTCTTGCTCCTCGAAGATGTCACAGTGCTTGTCTTCAATGCCTAGCTGGCGCAGCTGCCGGGCCGTGTAGGCAGGAGACCAGCGTCGGACCTGGGCCTCCTGTGGCTGCCGCTCTTCCTCCTCATCAGTTTCATGACCATTGATGTAGGAGCGACGGTGATCGAGATGACTGCTATACTCGCTGGCGGAGTCGTTTAAGACGGAGGGCTCTCGGTCGGCTACACTATGCCGTGGCGTACTGAGATCAGTGATGTGTTCATCTATCACGCTGAGGGTCTCATTCATGACAGGGCTATCTTGGCCATTGCGATGTTGCCCCTCCAGTGCCTGTCGGATTTCAAGGGTCATCTTGGCAGCCGGCAAGGGGGAGGAGGCGGAACGTTGCTGTGGCTGCTGCTGTTGCGGGGGCGACCGCGGCACCTCGGGGGCGCGTAGGTCGGAGATGCTGGTATGGCGCGAGACTTGAGGGGTGGATTCGCCGCTTCTGAGAAGCGTTTCGGCGTCAGGAGCAGTGCCATCGGTGTCTGTTGAGTGTTCGGTCGTCGCTTGCGCCGTGCTCTCGGCAGGAGGGCGAGTGCGGATCTTTGGAGCGGCAGTGGTGTATACTGGTTAATTGATTGTTAGTGTTCGGTTGCTCAATGGTAGGTAGACAGAATTGAACTCTTAAACAACCTACCTCCAGGGAACAGACCCGTCGAACCGGTGGTCAAGTCCTTGCCTAGATACCAGCCATCTCCAAAGCCCTCATCCAGCTCAACCAATTCGATCTTCTCACCGCGTCGCAAGGTCAGCTCGTCGGGGCCGCGGGCATCGAAATCATCTGCGCAGGTGAGCAAGGCCATCGAAAGCAAGGTAACAGAAATTAGAATAAATAAATAAGAATGACATTACTCACGGACAACGAGCAGGAGATCCCCGGGTATAACACCGCGGGGAGGAGCGGCGAGGGCCATTGGGGGGCAGGGGGATAAGTGGGAGGCGTAATGGCCGAGAGAAGGGTGCGGGGAGGAGGAGAAAGTGAGACTCAAGTGCCGGGCATGGGGCCGCCGCCCAGATCAAAGATGGTCTAGAATGAACGGAGGGATTGCGAGTGCGGGAAGAGGAAGTATATAGTGACGGAAAGACGGAGAGAGACACAGCAGAAGATAAGTTTAGGTCCGGTAGGTACTAGTCGGTTGACACAGGGAATGAGAGTTAAGTTGGACTGAAAGAACCAGTCAGACAGAGAGAGGAGTCGATGATGCAGGATGATGGCAGTAGTGGGCAAAATGATGTCGATCAGTTGGTCCTTGCCCAGGGGATTGCAGCTAAACAGAAAGGGTGGGTTTTGCCGGAAGAAAATTTGATAGATAAAGTAAATAGTAGGTAAGTAGGTAGGTAAGGGTAAGAGAGTGAAGCTGAGGAACGCAAAGAAGAGAAGAAGAAAAGAAGAAGAGAGAGAATGCCCGAGAGGAGGAGAAAAGGATGCAAGCAGAAGAAGCAAGAGAAGCAGAAAGCGAACAGTTTGAATTGGCAAGCGTCAAGACGGACGAACCACGAATCGGAGCGGGGAACGAATTCTGTGCTGGTCGGGCAGAATTAAGATTAATCTGGTTATAATTAGTACTGGGTACGGAGTATAGGATGAGTATATCTAGATGGGATGATACTACGAGTATCATAAGTCCCAAGTGGATGATGTCCACTGATTAGGAATGGGGGAAGTAAATAAATATCAATTAAATTGTTGTTGATCGAGAAGGTGTGGAGAGAAGGAAGGAAGAAGAAAGGAAGAAGCTCACACCTCCGAGTAGGTTATCTCTACTCTAAACTTAGGTATGTAAATGTAAATACCGTTGGAAGTATATACCTTTCCTTTCCTCAATGACTGCATTCATGCATTCATTTATTCATTCATTCAACAATCCATATTCTCTCAATAACCACCACCACCACCACTACTACTTTTTAGCATCAACTAAGTCTTCTTCTAGTCATACAACTGGCTCACCTCTAATTGACAGGTCAAGACACTGCCCGAAACAACACCCTGCATTCGGGTAATGATGGATCGCATTCAGCCCATCGTGATTTGTGATGTATCCAAACCCAGCCTGGTTGGGGAATGTTCGGCCTTTATCGTCTTTGCCTTACTCTTCTTGTATACACACATCATTATCTACGGAGTACTCCGTACCCTGGTCAAGCTTGAGCGAACTATTA